ACATATAACAAAAGCAACAAAAACAAAATAAAACCCAATAACAAAATCGCGCAAATCAAGAATCGTGCTTTAACAAAAGGACACGATAACCCCGCTGAATTTGGAGCAGTTGCGTCTCGTCCCCCAACACCCCGCCCCCAGCCCGAAAAGCCCAAACGGAAGTGAGATTCAAACAACAATCAACAAAGCTTAGCATGCCAAAGTAAGTATAATTAAGTATAATGAAGTATAATTATTAAACAACTAGAAATAGAATAAGTACAGGCAGTAACTAATTTGGACATTCGTTTCTTATTCTTATGTAAAATGCTAAAAAGACTTCAATTGAGCTATTTTCCAACACTTTTATTGGTATACGGCAAGCAAAAGTATACATTTCAGATATTTTGCAACACTTCCTTGGCTTAAATTGTTATATACATTTGAAATACTTTCTTACACTGTTGATTGCCATAAGGGAAGAATACGTTTCAGATATTTTCCAACACTTGTTTTAGCTTTAAGGCAAGCAAAGGAAGAATACGTTTTTCAACACTTTCAATTGTTATAAAGACTCCAAGGAAGAATACATTTGATATATTTTCCAACAGTTTTTTAAAGATTGCAAGAAAGAATACATTTGCAATATTTTTCAACACTTTTAATTACTGTTAGTGAAGAATGAATTGATTTAGAGATATTTTCCAACACTAAATTGTTTTAAAAGAATGAAAGAGAGACTATTTTGAGATATTTTCCAACACTTTTGATTGCTACAAAAGCCGTGAAGGATGTGAAAAACCTAGGCTTACGAACCGAACCCTTCAACACTTGAAATTCGCTTCTCACAATTCAATCTAATACGAATTATAAATATTTAATTGTTAGTTAATTGTTTCAAAAAGTATGCTACATGAATTGCACACGAAGTCTGAGCGAGAAATAAATGCAACGCCAATTGGAAAATCGTAACAAGTTGAATGCCAATTGCATTCCAATAAGAAGATTGGTCCATATTGTACAGTAGAGGAGTTAAGGATACAGTTAAAGGCGAAAAGTGAAAAATGGGCCTGATTAGCCGATCAATTAACCACTCGAAAATTGATAAAGCCGCAAACTCAACAGTTTTCGTATGGCTTTATCTGTTAAACTAGTTTTGACTTTCAACACAACCTTGCCCTCATGGTACTACGAATCGAAACTTTGGTTCCCATCAGATGCCACTCGTGACCGAACAATATATATATATACTATATGTATATATGCATAGAGCAAAACAACATTGAGGCACATAGCGTGTACATAAGGCACATGCTCATTTATTATGTATATATATATATATATACTATAGTCGCAAGATCTTGTTTTTATAATAGAGATTATGCTCGAGTGCTTTTTTTTTTTTGGGTGCTGACACTTCGAATGGGGCATTGTTTTAAAGAACAATAAATAAAAAAGTAAAAACAATAACAATTTTTTTTTTTCAATATTCTTTCGAGTTTTTTACGTATTTTTATTTATTTATTTTTTTATTATTATATTATTTCTGTTTTCTTTTCGATTTAAATAAATTCATATGTTCCAAATGATAAGCACAACAAGCTCGGGTTTATTTTTAAACATTGAAGTTTATGTAAATATTTCCTGGGCCGCGCGACGCAAACAAAAACAGAATCTGTGAAAGGAATGGAATATGGAAAACACAATAATATTTGATATTGATAAGAGCTGCGGGCCCAGAGTTGCCGCAGTCTCGTCGAGATACGCAGGGCACAATGACTAGTCGTATTCGTATTCGTATTCATGTTCGGACTTGGGCTACAATTCAACAAGCCTTTAAATGGAAATCAATCAGACACTGCGATTTAAGATAAGATATAGACAGCAAGTGAAGCAAGCCTATTTGGCACTTTCAAATGGATATTCTAGGCTCTAAAACCTAGACTAAGCAGCAAGGATATTATTTGGCTCAAGGTATATAAAAAAAAAAAAAATACAGCACGGCTATAATCGATTTGTTTCATTCAATCAGCTACGACTTAGTGAGCTTTTCCCATTGTGAGTCCTTTTTCAAACAGTTCGGTTTATAGTTTATTGCCCTATCCTGTAAAAAGTCCGACTGGCACATACTCTACTCCGGCTAGCTAGGGATCCTTGCTGTAACAAGGATCTCAGATGTCTTTCTTTAATCGAACACAAGGCTTTGCTTTTTTAGCCCTTATTTCCGCAAAAACAAGGGCTATGCATTCTTACCTAACTTCGGCGCTTGGAGTCCGATCTTTTTTGAATTTTTAAGTGATTTTATAAGCACATACAAAATACAGTGCACGGCTCTAGCTTTATAAGTGTGGCCTGTTAAAATGTTGAGAAAATGGAGTCATTCAAATAGTTGAATATTTTTATGCTATTCACCAAGTTAAGTTTACGTAGCTCTGTATTCGGCTTGATTTAATGAAATGGGCGAATAAATGCAAAACAATGCAAAGAAATCCATTCTGCGCAGGGCTTAGGAGAAATATATACTTTAAATTTAAGCAAAAATGAGAATACATATAATAATATTTATATTTGTAATAATATGAATAATAATCACAAATAAACGAGTAATAGTAATGCGATAATAATAATAAAAAAAGAACGATAGTAATAAATAATGATAACAATAATAACAAAATAACAAGAATAATATATAAAATATGATAATGATAATGAAAGAAAATTAGCCAATAAAAATAATAAGTATTTTTATAATTATAATTAATTAATAATAACAATAATCATTATGAACATAACAACTATATCAATAAAACGATATTAATAACAATAACAATAATAATAATAATAATAGCAAAAACTTAAAAATAATAATAATGATGATGAGTAATAAAATAATGCTAATAGCAATAATAATGTATATTATGCAATACGTTTAATATTTATAATGAAAATAATGAGCCTAATAGTTATTATAACATTAGACATTAGACATTGGGATGCCCTGGGGACAAATCTAATGGCTTCCTTAAATTCTTCTTTTAGCATTTAAATATGTTCATATTAGTTACTTATTAACAATTTCTTTGTCGATTTCAATAAAGATGTAATATTTTTATAAGTATTATAATAATGATTCTGGTTTTGTGCATTGCAGATGATTTGCTCGCTGCCAAGCTCAACCTTCCTGCCACTGCTGGTCGCAGTAGTGTGTTTGGCATTCGGTCTGTCTCTGGTGGCCGGCACACCGATCGCGTTCACGCCCGAGGATCTGGAGATCAAGCATCGCTGCAGCAAGGATCTGGCCGAGACCATCAACTTTATCTGTCAGGGTCGCACCGTTTCGCTGGGCCAGCTATATCGTGAGTGCACGAAATGTTCTTAGCCCAGCTACAATTGCATACTAATTTGATATTATTGTTCATTGTTTCAGCCCAAAGCTTTGGCAAGCGCAGCAAGCGTTTTGCAGCCGACGACACCTTCTACAGGCCACTGCAGAATGGTCCCATACACGAATGCTGCCTGCGCGCCTGCGGCTATCCCGAGATACGTCAATATTGTGCGCCCGATTAGGGACTACATCCATATATATATATATATATATATTATATACATAATCATATTTAGATGCATTAGGCAATGCCAGCTGATGTTGCCCAACCAACACCCACCCACCCAACCAACCACACGCACACACACACACACACACACACACACCCATACATACTAAGTATATTGTATTAACTTAAGCTATGCACTAATAAAAATCTATACAACTATGAGAGCAATACAAATCCAATTTATAGCCGCGCTGCAATGAAATCTCTATCCCGAACTCATTTCTCAATTAATCTCAATCAGTTTTTTTTTTTATCTGATTTGTTGTCAGTCCAAAAATCTAAAGCTAGAATTATATATAAGTATAGCTAACTCGTATAACTCCGAAATAAGGTTGAGACTCAGAGTCGATAACGATAACTGGATAAGAGATACGCAAAAAATAGTTGCATTTTCAGATATCGATATTTATCGATTTATCATTTTAAACATAAGTTAGGAAAGTTAGGAAACTATATGATATAGTGGGCCGATTTTGATAAGAATTAACACACTTTTATGGAGCATAGCAAGACTTATAAATGTTGCGTTTTCTTAAGATATTTTTCGTTCCTATGCCAGCTATATGATATAGTGGCTCGATCCGAGCTGTTCCGATATTTGCCAGAGGACAGCCTTAAAACTGAGTGATTAGTTTGCATGGAAATATATCGGACTATATCGGACAGATGGCCTTGTCAACCCAGCTGCTGATGCGGATCTAGAATATATATACATTATGGGCTCGAAGATGTCTCATTTCATGACCAAATTATGATACCCTCTAGAAGGGCATATATTTAGATTGTAAGCTGGCAGAGTGAACATTTCTAGTTTCCAGTCGTCTAGCTCGACTCGGTCCTGCTCAGGAATATATATTATATATATATAAATATATATCCTATAGAGTCGGAGATGCTGCCTTTGCGCTTGTTGGGTATACGAACTGTTGATTGTATTATGTGCTACATAGATATATGTATGTGTGTATGTATTCATGTATGTGTGTGTATGTATTCATGTACGTATGTATGTATGTGTGTATATATGTATAGTGCATAAGCTCACATATGCCTAGCCTTAATGTCCTTTTGTATTGGGCTTTGGGATCTATTGAAAATTAAATTTAATAGCTTCCGTGAAAAACACATTTAAAATGTTATCTCTCCTGCTCTATCTCTTCCTTTCTCTCTCTGGCTCTTGCTCTGTGTGTGTCGCTGTCTCTCTCTGGCTCATTAGAGTCCTTTGGCCTTTTGAGCCCACAAATAAGTTTGCGCAGAGAAGGGCATTTGACATTAATGCCAATGGGTGGGTTTCTCTTCTTCCTTAAATTCGCTTCGTTGACCTTTTTTGTAAGATGTGTGGGTGAGAGTGAGAGAGGGAGGAGCGGGGAGGGTGGGATTAGTGAATGGGGGTCAGATGACTGCAAATTATGTCACGAGCGACAATTCGGATGATTTTTAATGATGTTGAAAATCAGCTACACATGGGAATTGACCATTGACACCATTTGCACACACACACACACACGCATACACGCACGCACACATACACACACACACACACGCATACACACACACACGCATACACACACACACGCATACACACACACACGCACGCACATACAATGAAAGACCAATATATATAGACAGAGAGGGCGGCCCCGTTCAGCGCTTCGAGGAGGAGAGATGCCTGTAGTTAACCCAGCGACTGACCAGCGCGTCCCGCACTTGCAACGGCTGCTTCAGATCCGATTTGCGCGCTCTCATTGCCAAGGAATTTCTGATCGCGATTGTGGCATGCGATTGCTGCTGCTGATGCTGATGCTGCCTTTGCTGCAGCTGCTGCAGCAGCTGGAGAGGCTGGGTCGATTGATTCGGTTGGGTGGTCTGGGCTGGGCTCATGTAACAGTCGGGCTGCTCCGTGCGGTGCCGGTTCGTTAGCGGCTTCTCGTAACGTCGCAGCTTCTGTGTGCGCCAGAGATCCGCGTTGGGCGCCCGTTTGCCCAGTCGTCCGCCGATTTGCCGGCTGTGCGGCAGCTGTTGCAGCGGCCTTTGGATCTGTGACAAGCTAGCTCGTTTACAGTGCATGTTAGGATTTAACATGAGGCTGCGAACGGGTCGCCGCTTACCTGCAGCCAGGGCATCGTGCGGATCAGCGCGCTCTTCAGGCGATATGTTATCAGGTGTGTTGTGATGCCGACTCGTCCCACATTCATCAGCAGATGCACCCACTGTCGTACACCCATTTTCGTGTACCGTTAATTTAGCTCTTCGAGATGCGTGTCGCCCAAGTTTTTTATTTTTTTTTGTTGGCTTTTGTTTTTTTTTTTTTTTGCTTAGACCAAAGAATTTAAGTGCATTTTATTCAATTTGTATCGTATACTAAGTTAAGACTTATGTGCGTTTTTATTAATTAAAAAAGAAAAGAAAAGAAGTTCCAAATGGCATTGAGAATTTTCAGAAATGGAAATGAACCCAAAAAACAAAAAGAGAATCAACCAAATTCAGCTTTGACATCAACTTTGCAGGGCCTACTGCTGAGGCTTCGTCTCTCAGTCTCACCCCTTCCCCCCCACTCTCTCTCTCTCTTTCACTCGCTCTCTCTCTAGACAATCCCATTCAAATTTAGTCAAATGATTTTGTACTCAAGCGTCGCGACGGACACTCAACAGAGCCATAAAATCAAGTTGAACGCCAAAGCAAATTGTTAGCCGCACAACGAAGCCTTAAATACACTATTATTTGAAGTGCATATGCCATTCTAAATGTACACGAAAATGTGCACAAATAGGCTCGAATTTACACCATACAACAGGGTTAGAGTTTTTCCTGCGCTCAGGCTGTGCCTTTTTTTTTAGCTTTTAAAATGAAACACAATTATTTTCTATATATGGAAGGAAAAACAAAGGAATAATTTGTCTATAATAAAATATTTATAGGATTAAGGAAAACCCTGAGAAAAATATCAAAATAAATAGAAAATATAAAAATATAACGGAACATCAAGTAAATTAGTAAATTAGTAAATAATAATAATAATAATGATAATGATAATGATAATAATGATAATGATGATGATAATGATAATGATAATGATAATGTAATGATAATGATAATGATAATGATAATGCTAATGATAATAATGATAACGATAATGAAAATGATAATGATAATGATAATGATAAAGATAATGATAATGATAATAATGATAATGATAATGATAATGATAATGATAATGATAATGATAATGATAATGATAATGATAATGATAATGATAATGATAATGATAATGATAATGATAATGATAATGATAATGATAATGATAATGATAATGATAATGATAATGATAATGATAATGATAATGATAATGATAATGATAATGATAATGATAATGATAATGATAATGATAATGATAATGATAATGATAATGATAATGATAATGATAATGATAATGATAATGATAATGATAATGATAATGATAATGATAATGATAATAATAATAATAATGATAATGATAATGATAATGATAATGATAATGATAATGATAATGATAATGATAATGATAATGCTAATGATAATAATGATAACGATAATGAAAATGATAATGATAATGATAAAGATAATGATAATGATAATGATAATGATTTTGATAATGATAATGATAATGATAATGTTAATAATGATAATGATAATGATAATGATAATAATAATAATAAATAATAAATAATAACTTGCAATAATTTCAAATAATCTCAAAATTCTCAATTAAAAAAAAATCTCGGAAAAAAAGCAATACTCACGGAAAGTCAAACGAGTTATCAGATATGTAAAATAAGGGGTCTACATATGTATTTGCATAAATTCAACAACTAGTTTTGAGTAAAGTTTTCGATATAGAATTGTCTTTCGTTATAGAAAGAGAGCTACGGTTCAAGCTATGTGCTTGTAATTCCCAACTGGTTTAAGCGCAAATTCAATGAAAGACTGCCGACGCACCAACCAGATGATCGAGCAGCTATGCTCGCACATTGGGCAGGGCATTTACAGGCTGTAATAAGAGAGCGCACCCCGAAACGTTTCGATATACCAAAGAAAAAAGGGGGCGACTGAAGCGACCTCCTTGCTGCAAAGGACTCTGTGCGTGTGTGTGTGTGTGTGTGTGTGTGTGTGTGTGTGTGTCTCTGACTGCCTGTCTTTGTGCTTAGACGGAAATCGCGGCCGAGCTGAGGGCGGTTGAGTGCGAAACAACACCAAGTTGTTTGCCCTGCCTGTTGAGAAGTTTGCGTTTACATTTTTGCCATGCGGCAAGCGGCAAGCGGCAAGCGGCATGTGGCATGCGGCAAATGGGACACAAGCAGCCGGTGGGCGGGGCAGGTGGCAGGGGGCAAGCAAAGCAAGTGACATTGATGAAACGGGCCGATGAACATTAGCCAAATACTGCAGAAATTTTGCACTAGACCATGTTAGCTTGTGTGCGTGTGTGTGTGTGTTTGTGTGTGCCACACAGGGGTGGTTACATACACACATACACACACATACATATATATGTATATATGTATGTATAGATGTGTGGGCGCTGGAGCTGAAGCAACAGAAGTCGCACAAACACAAAATCGCACAACCGAACTCGAACTCGCGCCCATTGGAAAAGGAGTGAGAAAACCCTTGACAAACGCCTTCGAGTCTGACTTTAAAGCAAGCTGTGGGCGTGGTCGTGCACAACATATACACACACATGCAGACATACATATACATATGGGCTAGAGCGCTGAGGCGAATTTCCAATTTCCTGGTATTCATTATTTTCATACCGAGAGAAAGGGGGACACGTCCTCGCAACAGCTCTCGCAATTTTGTCAGGACGTGTCCATTGTCAGAGACAACTCCAAGGACATAAAGCATGTACTATGCACACATATTCTCTCTGTCTCACTCTCCCCCCAACTCTCTCTCTCCCCCTCTCTCTCTCTCTCTTTTGTCTGCAATAAACTTCTAAGTATCTGAATTTCTTATATATATAGCCGCGACTTTATGAATCGAAAGGCTTCGCTATAGATTCATATCATATGGCTTCTATATCAATTTTTCCAATCTAGCGAATCAAGCTCTATTGAGCTTGATTGAGACGCTATAAATATCCTATCTTCAGTCGATCAATCAATCAGTCAATGTTTTATATAACTATACGAATAAATAAATATTTTTAGTACTTACTTGATATTCTTAGCGATGTTTTCCACGTTTCAAAATAGTTTAAAATAGAAATTTATTATTTCAATTGGCTAAGAAAAACGCGATTTAACTTTCGATACATGATTGAGTCGCCTTCATCGAGGCGTTCAATCGATGTTTATTAAAAAAAAAAAAACACTTTTACACAACACTGAAAAAAAAAACATAAAAAAATATTCACTTTCACTTTCAAGCATTTTCCAACACAGATTCGCCAATTAATTGTCAAACTGGACGCGTTGACACGCATTTGCCCTTTCGACAGTTTTTAAAAACGCGATTTAACTCTCGATACATGACTGAGTCGTCCTCATCGAGGCGTTCAATCGATGTTTATTAAAAAAAAAACACTTTTACACAACACTGAAAAAAAAACATAAAAAAATATTCACTTTCACTTTGAAGCATTTTCCAACACAGATTCGCCAATTAATTGTCAAGCTGGACGCGTTGACACGCATTTGCCTTTCGACAGAGTTTCTTTGTTGATTTTTAATTTAATTTAAGTGCATTCTATTGTTGCGTTTCGATACTGTGTCTAACATGGGCCGGCCATGCAGCATCGAGATCCACAAATTGGTGGAGATGCTTCCGAATAAACAATATTGTCGCTGCATTCTGTGCGACAAGACGCTGAGCGGCGCGGTCCGCAGCAATATTAAGCGGCATTACGAGCGACTCCATCCGGAAGTTGTCCTGCCCAAGGCCAAGAAGAGGAAGCATTTAACGCACTTGAAAGCTTCCAGCAACAAGGGCAAGTCCACATTCGACATATATCTGGGGAAAGAAGGGGCACATATTCCATAAATAATACTGAGATTGAATGAATAATAAGTCGCAAAGTTGCAATCGGCTTGAGCCGACTGACTCCAAAACTGTATTGCAGTCGCTTTCAAACTGTGTCTAGTTGACAGCCTGGCTGAGTCGAAAACTGTAACGCAATAGCTTTCAAACTGTGTTTATTGGAGGGTTACTTTTAGCGGGTCTTACATGATCTCTTTGAACATTTGTTTAAATGACTTTCAAACTGTAATAAAGTCACGTTCAAACTATATTTTATTAGAGGATATAAAAAGCACTTCTAGCTCTTAAAATGCAAACCAGTTACAATGAAACTATGCTTAGTTAAGGCATCTTTAGCTTTTATCTGGATTGACTCTAAAACTGTAAAAAAAGTTACTTTAAAACTGTATATATTGGATCTATTTCGAGAGAGTCCAAAATGGCCTCTGTTTTCCTATTACCTACACTGACTCTAAAACTATACGACAATAATTCGATTGCCTAAAATTTACTCTGATAGCTTTGGTAGCTCTAAAACTGTAATTGAGCTACTTTAAAACTGCACATTTCAAGCTGTTTTGCTATTTCCTTGCCTGACTCTAAACTGTAACGCAGTGACTTTCAAACCATTCATATTTTAGGAATATACATTAGTGTTCCTTTTGATGATAGCTTGGTCGACTCGAAAACTGTGGACTCTTCAAGCTGTAGGCCAACAAGCAATGTCTCTCCAACTGTAACTAAAGGCATTGTGGTTATGAGACGAATCAGGGGGTTGTATTATATAGATATGTAGTCATAGATATGTATCTATACATATAAAAACCGGTAAGCGGCAAAAATGTTCCGTTCCCCGCCCATATGGCCCTTTTAACTCTGTGAACAGAGTATAAGTAGTTGCCTTTTGCCTCGCAATGTGTCCAAATACGCCCTGTTATCCAAGTATTGCCAAGTATTGCATTCAACGGGTCAAACCAAATAAAATACCGCTATAAAATACCAAAATGTCAAACATTTTGACACATATCGATATCGGTTATCGATATCGTTGAAACTCGCAAGTGACATATCTGACCGTGACTGGAACTTAGAAAGAAAACTTTTTGGCCAAACTTTTTGCGGCCAGCGAAAGATTTTCGTGAGTCCATAGAGTTCGGATAAGTCTGACAAATAATACCCATTGATCTAGAGTGCAAGGGATAAGGTCAGCTTTAAGGCTTTGCTGCGAGATTTTCATATTTCCTTTGTTCGCCCCAACAAGCCGCCATTTTGACGGACAAGAAATCCTTCGACAGATTCGACAGAACTGTAAAGAATAGTTAATGGACTCTGAACTACAATAAATACTATTGTTTCCGCAACAACAGTCGAGCACGTGAAAATGGAACAGAACGGAAAAGTAACGAAATTGAATAGAAATCGCGTACGCAAATGCATCGTGGATTGGAACAGTCGTGTGGTGCAGGCTCTCGTCGAGAATGTGCGAAAGAACGAGAACCTGTGGAATCCGCATCATTGTTTCTACAAAGATCGCATCATAACGCGAAATGCTTGGGAGAATGTTTCGGCTGCCATCGATGTACCGAAAAGCGAGGCAATCCTAAAATGGCATTCCATACGTTCCAGCTACAGAGTGAGTACAAAGCATCCATTGCAACTATCCAGCAATATATAAATGCCCCAAAATATCGATTGCCAATTCCTAGAGTAGGATAAACTAAAGACGTCTTTGATCCCATTCGGCATACGTGTATTCGTGGATTTAATTGGCATTGTTCGGATCGAAATACTAGACTATATCATCGGCCGAGAATTTATAAATGCCAGAATTTCTTGTATATAGCTGCTATTGGAACAATCGAGAACTGAGTTTTGTGATCGACAGCTTTCCTAGTTTCTAATTAGGATCTTCACTATATATATATTCGTATCGTATGGCAGCTATAACAATTTTTTGCAATCTATCTGAAAGCCAAAATAGATTTGAATGGAAGACTTTATAAATAAATACCATATAATATTATGGATCATTCTTTTTATGCCCTACTATAATCGGGTCCAAAAGGTTAATTCTTATTCCAAAAAGACTTGGATGCATTTTGATCATCTTCTATATCTATATATCATATAAAATCAACAACTTTTCATATATCCTTTGATTTTTGCGCTCTACTGCAGACGCATTTGAAAAACCTGCAGGAATTCAGAACCGGACAGATTGTCAAGGACAAGAAACCAAATCCATTATATTCAGCAATGTCCTTTCTCGATTCTGTCATGAAATTTCCGCCCACGACACCCCAACTGAGTACGGTAAGTATTCTTATAAGCTATATAGATCAAATATATATAAAGTATATTCCTGAACAGCATCCAGCAAATAAACAGGCCGCAACATATGAGACAAGCCGGAAACCCTTTCAGCTGCGAGCTAGCGATAATATCTGGGATGGCAGCCTGAGGAAAATGGAGCCCATCCAGGCGTTAATTGCCGGCAAATTGATTAGCAGCGTTCTCATCCAAGGCCAACTGGGCCAATTGAGCATGAGCAGCAATATCGCGCATAATACTCCCAGGCTGTTCGAATCGTATCGTGAGTCGTTCCCCCTAAACCCCCCACCACCATCCCCTCTACCCACAATTCATCCCTAATTCATATCATATTAAGTTCCTTATCCTAATCCAAGCAAAGTCAGCAAATCGATATATATCGGTATCGGTATTGGACTATCGTAAAAACAACAACGAAGATTTGATACCCTTGCTGACCTTTGCCTTATGACTTTGAAGAATTGTGACCTTAGCAAAGCTTATAAATAATATATGTATATATTTTGCCCTACAAAGCTATAAAATATAATATAGTATGGTATACCCGCATTCACTCTAAGCCAATTAACTTAGGGTATACGAAGAGCGTGCTTAGTACAAACTCCTGACATAACTATCTATGTACATATATGTATGTGTGCCTGCAAGGCCACATTATTTGATAATAAAAACTTCCTAACATATTATAATTTTACGTACTCGTTCCAGAACTACCCCGTATTGGATGTCCGACACTCAGAAGCGTTGAGACCTTGGTGGAATTGCTGCCAAACAACATACACTGCCGCTGCTTAATGTGCGGCGCTATGATGGCATATCAATATGATAACATAAGAGAGCATTACGAGAGCTACCATCCGAATATGCCCGTTAATCAAGACGCAGCAAGCAGCAATGCGTCGACTGCAGCCACCGCGCCAAGCAGCACGAGTCAAAGTCAATGCAATCCAATGGTACGTACACACACACACACACACACACGAACACAGCGCAGAGAGACAGACAGAGAGAGAATGAGAGAGAGAGAGAGGCACACACTCACACATATACACTACTCACACAAGCAGGCTGGGAACCGCAATAGAATTTGTGTCGTTCCATTTAGCATAACTCAATTGAACGGCTTAATGAATTAAACAATTGAGCTTATTCCAGTGATTTTGTTTAATTGTTCAATCGGTTGGTGAACTATTTGTGTTAATATCTGTTTTTTTGTTTGCGTACGGAACAGGATATCGATACTTTTTCATCAGCTGTTTAGTGTTTCATGGGCGCACAAAAAGCTGCTTAGATTTCAACAGTTTCAGCTGTTTTGATTTTGCTTTTGTTGTTGTTGTTTTCTTCTTCTTTTTTTTTTTTTTAATAAGTGCGACTGGCTGAACAACAACAACCACAGCGTTGTGAAAGAAACATACATAAGTGACCCTCAGATTCCACAACGTGTTTAGGCGCACAACAACAACAGCAACAACAACAACAACACGGGCAGCAGCAATAACAGCAAATGCAAGTACAACATTAAAACACAAACCGTTTCAAACCGGTTCAGCGCGTCGCATGCTCTCGTCGTGCTGTGCGCGTGTTTGTGTGTGTGTGTGTGTGTCTCTGAGTTGCTGTGTGCGCGAGCTTACCTAATGCGCCTGTTTCTGCTGTGTGTATGTGTTAGCGCGCGCGCGCGCATGTATGTGTGTGTGTGTGTGTGTGTGTGTATACGTGTGTTTTGTGTTTGTGTTCCACTACGAACCATTCGCTCTGAACCGCACTCAGTGCGCTCTTTGCAGAATTGCGCGCTGCGACGGCCGTGCAAGTGGAAGCGAGAGGCAACTAACTACGCTGGCCTGGCACCGGTTCATAAATTGGTTCCTGCTCTGGTTTGGCTCTCAGCTGTGCGACGTTTCTCGTTCAGTAAACGAACGATACTCAAGTACGACGCACGCTTTGCTGTTGTTTTTTTTTTTGGTTTTTTAGTTGTTCATTCTTCCATCTCAACAATATATGTAATATTATTTTGGAATTGTCGCTGTTGTTATTATTAAATATAATCCGTATCCGTACCCGTCGTCAACGTTATTGTTGTTGTTGTTGTTGTTATTATTGTTGCAGCTGTTGAATATGTCGCTAAAGCGTTATAAAAATCCAGTCAACAATCATTTCATATACAACGATGAAATCCGCAAAAGCACATGCAAAGTGTGCTTATTCGATATGGCCGGCAGGCACTCGGAGAACCTGATGCGCCATCTCAAGCGCAAACACCCGGCCACGTACGCCGAGGTGATGCTAGAGAAGCAGCGCCGTCGATCGGCCAATACGAATCGATCATCCGGTTCAGATACTGGGCCCTTGTCGTCCATGTTCAAATTCGAGACGCAGCCGCATAAGTTATTTATCAAATCGGTAAGATATCTATATCACTCTATATCGTATAATTAACGATATACACACACACACACACACATACGTATCTCTCTGCCCGCAGCTGTGTTATTAATATCCCACTATGCTTTATCTTCCATATATATATATATATGTATATGTATATATACATATCTAATTACTATATAATGTATATGTTTGTGTTTCACAAAACCAAAAGGAAAAATTGGCATTCAGACTTGACGAACCTGGCCAACAGCAGGTAATAATATACACACAGATCAGTTAACTAAGCTGCCTCTCTTTCGCTCTCTCTCTCTCTCTCGCTCTCTCTCGCTCTCACTCACTCTTTCTGTAGCTATTAACGTCTGAAACAATCTGACCTTTCATGTCCTCGGCCCGCTTTCTAACACTCCAGTTTGCTCTCTTTATATATCCTATATACAGTTAATTGCCGCTAAAATCTCTACCGAATATTAGATACCCTTGCAGATAGGCTAGTCGCAAGCGTATAAGTTATAGTAGTCCGATATGGTTAAGATTTCGTTTATATGTTTAACCTAACCAAACCGCAGACTTGATTCTGTTTTCGTCATATTTTGGGCAATTGGGCAATGCATTAGCCAAAATCAAGAGCTTTACCTAATGAATATTAGCTCATGCTAATTATCGTTTCCTTTGTGGAGCCGAGGTCTGATGCTCTTCAAGCGAATTGCATTCGTTTATTTTGTATGTTATGCTCCATGCTGATGCTTGTTTCTTTTGGGCATTTCAGATGCCCATCGGGGCCGGATGCGGCAATGATTATGAGGAGGATACGTCCAGTTTGAATGGCAACGGCCAATTCGAGAGCGTGGACATTGGCAAGGAGGAGCTGTGCGAGGTGGTACACTCGCCGGAGGCATTAAACGATTCCAGCGAATCGTTCATCTATCCGGACAATCCCAACGATGAGGATCCATTCATAATGACCAACTTTGCCCAGGCGAACACAATGGGCAGCCCGAGCACTAATTCAACGCCCGCCGCTCAAACGGGCAACAATTCGAACAATGCAACGCCCAGCTGTTCCATGCACCACTCATCCAACGATGCCAGCTTCCTGCAATACCTGAGCGATAAGTTTGGCAAATACAGCTCGAACACCAAATACACGGTCCAATACCATATCAATTGCATATTGTACAAGGCCGATATGGGCTGTTACGATAATGCCGATGCCTCCAAGTTGCCCGATTCGTATGCATAAGCACTCCATACACACACACACACACACACACACACACATATATATATATATCCAACTATGTAAAGCATGCCAATTATATACATAATACATAAAGACATTTGTAGTTTAAATCGAAATAAGTAGTTTCCAACTTGATTTGTTCACAAAGCAGAACTATATAAAAACCAATAAATCCAATTAAATTATTATATATATTTAACGATCTGTAAAGGCATGTACCTATATATATATATATAGAGGCAGCTGTGTCCGTCTGTCTTCAAGTCCTAAATCCATAATTGTACAATCTTTCTAGCGCCTGCGTGTCTTACATATATCGTAACTGAACTATTCGTACTACTCTGCTATATAGCTGGAATAATGGGGCAAAAAAAGAGTTTCTAGCGTTAACAACTTTTTGTTACTGCATCGAAAAGTTTCTCTATACGGATTTCTAAGTATATGCACATATAGCCGGAATCAGTTGTGGAACTTTTGTGAACTTTACATATATCCGAATCGAGCGATTCAGCAAAATGTATCTTTTTTAGTTCTATAACAAATCCTTTCTTTTGCTTTTGCCCAGACCATATACCATATCATATGGCATCTATGGGAACAATCCGATATTAAGAAAGTTGAATGTATCCAAAAGGTTGTGTCTTTCAGTTTTTTTAAATCTTCGCACCCCACTTTTTTGCAAAATCAATCTTTGAGCACATCTCTCTTGAAATCTTGCTTCGTGCTTGTGTATCTGAGGTATCTGCCTTGCATTGAGCCACATTCCTGTTAATATGCATATGCCTTCTATCCTCCAGTCTATCGGTTCGTGTTAGCCTTGAGAGAGCGCATTGGCTCCGCAGATTGGGTCAACTAGCCGCAAAGTTCACATTCGGTTGCGCCACAATCCCACGCTCCGTGCCCCGTGCCCAGTGCTCCGTGCTCCCTCGCCAGGGGTCAACAGCTGAACAGCTGCTGTTGGAGGCATTCAAATTTTTGGCTACTTCATGCTGATGCGAGACTCTTGCCCATCAAGGTATTACCTTCTGTTTGCTTTTATTTATTTTTATTTTTTTATTTTTTCTTTTCCTTCTTGGGGCTTCATTTACTTTCCTGCGGCGTATGAAAATTTTTGCATTTGCCCGGGGTATAGACATTTTGTCATCGATTTTGTTTCATTTTCAAAACGATTTTTTCCCATTTTTTCTATATCTGCATTATAATCATATTTTCTTCTTCTAACTTCGCTTCGTGAACTAGTTTTTTTTTTTGTTTTACAAGTTCAAAACTAGTTTGAACACATTTTGCCAAAAATATTGCTTGGTTTCGTTGCGGTTTGGCTTTTTATTGGGTTTCAGTTCCGGAACGAACCAGTTCAGTTGCAGCCCTGATTCTATGCCACATGCAACTGTGCAGCTGCTGTGCTACGTTAGGGTATACAAACGTCGTCTTCTTCAGCTGGCTCATTGCGTCTGGGCAGGGCGTGGCAAAAAAAGGGGCCCAATTGATGTACGGGCTGTTGGCTAAGCGGGCGCAATGAAAGCAAGAGCTAAAATGTCTGCTTGCTTGTGTGTGCACTGGTCTGCGTGTGTGTGTGTCTGTGTGTGTGTGTGTGTACACAAGATACACACACACACACACAAGTGAAGAGAGTATCTGTGACACCATCGGCCGGCAAGGGCCACGTTTAGGGCTTCGTCTCTGCCTGGCTTCTGCGAATTTTGAACCTGCGCGTCTGTGCGCGTGTGTGTGCCTGTATGTGTGTGTGTGTGTGTGTGTGCGTGGCTGTGTCTCTTGTTCATATAGGGGCGCCTTGTGCGGCTTACCCCCGTCGCAGCCAGCCACCGTTTCGGTACGTAACGCGTCCTCGCCAGCTTCTTGGCGGTTATTAAAGGTTCGTTATCAAATATGTTGGATGCGAGCTGTTTGTCGAGTTGCTGCCGCTTGCTGCTGCTTGCTGCTTGCCGCATGCCGCATGCCACATGCTGCATGCCCCATGCTGCATGCTGCATGCTGCATGCTGCATGGAATATGCAGCTCGTGGTGCATAAAGGCATCATTTCATTTCTGCTGCAGTTGAAATGCAAACAAAAAAAACACACACACACACACTGGCACACGCACACACACACGCACACTAGCTTGGCCTGGCAGAAGAAGCAGCGCACACATAATACCAAAGCCGTTTACTTAGCTGCAAACACAGCGTCACACACCTGCCGCCCTTTGCTGTTGTTCCTCGCACACACACACACACACACACACACACACACACAAGCACACACAGGCCAATGCACCGTGCTGAACCATGCTTGGAATTGGATCTGGAACCGGAACTGGAACCTGGAGCTTGGAGCCGGCAGGAATAATTGCACAGCATTAAGTAAATATCATGATAACTGTTTATCCTTGCGGATTGATTGACTGCCGGACTGACTTACTCACTGACTGATTGATTAACTGCAGAAAAGACTTTAGTCTTTAGATTGAGACTATGAGACTGACTGACTGACTGACCAACAGAGTATCTGATTGACTGACTGATTGACTGGCGGACTGATTACATGATGGACTAGTTTATTGACTGACAGACTGCTTGATTGATTGACTTACAGACTATCTAATTGTTTGGCGGACTGATTAACTGATTAATTGGTTTGTTGACTGATTGATTGATAGACTTTCTGATTGATTGAATGACTGATTAGCTGACTGAATGTTTTATTGGCTGACTCACTGATTCGATGGTTTATTGACTGACATAATGGCTGATTGATTGACTGATTGAATTACAAATCATCTACTTGACTGGCGGATGCATTAGCTGACTAAATAGCTCACTGGCCGCTTGATTGATTAACAAACGAACTAAGTTATTTATTGTCTGACCGACTAATTGACTTACTCACTGATTGATTAATGAGTATACTGACTGATTGATGGCATACTAACTGATTGACTGACTGACAGACTGAGTATTTGGCGACCTGCTCTATTGATTGACCAACAGAATATCAATATGATTGGCTGACTACTGATTTACTGATCAAATGGTCGATTGACTGATCAACGGACTGACTGCTTGATTGACTGACGGACTGATTGATTGGCGGACGGACTAATTGATTGACTTACAGACTATCGTATGAATAGATTGACTAATTAATTACCAGTCAATCAATCAGTCAGTCAGTTAGTGGTCAGTCATTCAATCAGTTAATTAGCCAATCAGTCGTTTAATCAATCAATCGGTCAATCCTGTCTTAAGTAAAAAAGCAGCCCTTTCGATTTGGAATGTCAGTTAGTCAATCAATTAGTTAATTGATCAGTCAGTTATTCAATCAACCGAATCAATCAGTCAGTCAGTTAGTGAGTCAGTCATTCAATCAGTCAATCAATTAGTTATATAATCAATCAATCAGTCAATTAGATAGTGAGTCACTTAATCAGTCAGCCAATCACTCAATCAATCAATCAGTTATGCAATCAGTCAATCAAACAGAACAAACCGTATGTAGATATCTGATTGAGTATATTTATCTGCAACGCGAACATATATTTTAATAAAAATGGATATCC